GCTTTCTGACTGAGGTCTACATTGGAAAGCAGGATATGAGGCAGCCCAAAGTTTTGCTTCGTCTGCCCAGCAGGGTCTTTTCAAAAACAACAGACTGCAAATGGTGAGCTGTCAAGAGATTCTACAGGATACAGACTTCTGGAAACATCTCGCTATCCAGCTCTGCTGTTCCCTCAGTTCACAGGGCAGCCAGTCTGCTGTTCTTGGATATCCTCTACACACCTCCATAAACACACACCCTGTTGTCCGTGTGTCCTAGAGCAGCTGCTCAAGGTGCTCCATTGGCTTTCCGCACCCTCCCAGACCCTTCCACACAGAAAATCTTCCTCACCATCCCCAGGCAGCGGGCCAGAGGCGGACACCCACTGAGAGCCCACCTGACCACATCAGTTCCCCAGGAAACATGCAAACGAACAGGCACCCCACCCTTTTACTGGGGCCACCTCCGTGCAGTGCAGAGAAGGCCTGCTGCTGAGATAGACATCACTCAGTCAGGAGCTGCTGAGTCTGCCACTCAGCCATTGCTGAGTGAATTTCAGGCCAGCCTGGACTACAGTGTCAAGAACACCCCAAAACAAAAAACTAAGGCAGGGATGTGTGTGAGAGGCCATAGTCATGAGGTTAACAGCCAGCCTGGCCATTACTCCTGATAGTTCATGAGTCTTGCTGTGTTCTCAGCACACCCTTGCAGATCACTTGGACCCTTCAGCTTTGTATCATGAGTTCCTCTGTCTTCCAGAAGCCAGCAAGTTTCCCAGGGCATGCTGGGGATTCTTCAGAGACGTGTATTTATGTTTACAATATAAACTATAGAGTTTATATACATATAGGCAGATTAAATCTCTACCTGTTAGTTAGACACTAGTGTCTGACAAAGTTTGCAAATAATACTATTTTATTGCTTAAAAAACAAAACAAACAAAAAACAAACAAACAAACAAAAAAAAAAAAACAGCCTGGCCATGGTGGAACAAACCTTTAATCCCAGCACTCTGGGAGGCAGATCTCTGAGTTCAAGGCCAGCCTGATCTATAGAGTGAGTTCCAGGATAGCCAGGGCTATATAGAGAAACTCTGTCTCTAAATAAATAAATAAATAAATCCAGAGCTGAAGAGGCGGTGCAGTGGGACACAGCCCTTGCTGGATAAGTGTGAAGACCTGAGTTCAGATCACTGAGCCTACAAAAAAGAACTGAGTGTGGCCTCACACTGGCCCGTAACTGTGGAGAACAGAGACAGGACGTTAGCTGCCAGCCTACACCAGATCAGTATGACACCTTTCCAAAGGAATAAAGGGGAATGATAAAGAACGCCTGACGTCCTTCTCTGGCCCCTACGAATAAGCACATATGCCCATCAGCATAGACATGTCCACATTCATACATACAAAGAACTTGTTACATCCATGTGTAATCAGCCATCTTCTGATTATAACAAGGCCCCAGCCAGGGAAAACCTGAAACACAGCTGCATACCCCATGCAAAGGAGCCAGTCACTGAAGGATGCTGTCGCATCAACTCCTGCCTAGTGACTCTTAACTTCACCAAGCCACCCTTGTTGCTTTTTTTTTCTTCTTCTTTTGAGGTAGTGTCTTCTGTATCCAAGGCTAGCCTGAAACTTGCTATGTAGCTGAGAATGACCTTAAACGGCTCATCCTCTTGCCTCTGTCTCCCTCGTGCTTGGATTACAGGTGTGTGCCATTCCATTCATGCAGTGCTGGGGCTGGAACCCAGGCCAAGGACTCCACCAGCCATATCTCCAGTCCCGGTGTGGGAATTTCTGACTGTCACAGAGCGTGGTCCCACCTGAGAGAGACTACCCAAAGGAGGTATAGGTGTTCCCAGACATACCCACAGTTGCAACATGAGGAATGAAGCTAGGAGACAGAATGCTGGGTGCTTCTGATATGCAAGTGACTTGTGTAATAACCCAGCAGGCGTGCTGGCCTCCGGAAATGAAGCTAGAATTAGAACCCGATGATGGCCTGGTGGTCCAAACTGTTGGGGATCAAAGCCTGTGGTTAATGGATGCATGGTTTAGGACAAGGCAAAGGAGTATCTCTCTGTAGGAAGAAAAAATCCCAAGAGGCTAGGTGTATGTGAAGGGCACACACAGTAGGAGCCCAGGCTTGACCATCTGGACTTCTCTGCCCACCCAGCTGCCAGGAAAGACCTGGTTCCTGTGGGTCTGCTCTGAACCCGTGGCTCTCTCGCTTGGTCCCTGCGCTGTCCTCAGCGTTCCCTGTCTAATGACTGCGGCACGCTCTGCTGACCCCTGCCCTGGCTCTTAGGGCATGTCTTCATGTGCAGCTCCCGCCCCCCCCCCCCCCCCCCCCCCCCCCCCCCCCCCCGTCCCGGCTGTGGCTCCGCCCTTCCCCTAGGACCTCCGCAGACCTGGCCAACACCTCACCGCACTCACCTTGACTTCCTCCTAACCTTAGTGCTCCCCACCTCCTTTAGGTGCCACTCTCTAGTGTGACACTCCTGGTCCTGCCCCTGTCCCTGCTCACAGGTGTGGGATCAACCCCCTCTCTCCACGCCTGCTGGGAGCCCTTTCCTGGCCTTCTGGCCCCTGACTTCCAGGCAAGACAGGGGAGTGTCTGTGGAAAAACATGGACACTGAGGGCAGACACACCTCCTGCAGTGTGAGTGTGTTAATTTTTTTTTTTTTTGAGGCAGTGTCTCATGCAGCCCAAGCCTGCCTTGAACCCCTGATCCTCCTGCCTCTACTTACAAAAGCCAAGACTACAGACATATGCTACAACACCTGGCTTTGTTTTTGTTGTGTTCTTTAAAAGAGATTATTTTTATTTTATGTATATGTGTGTTTGTGTCTATCACTATATATACATATACATACATGCATGCATACATGCATGCAGAAACCCTGAAGGCCAGAAGAGGGAGTAGCATTTCCTAGAGCTGGAGTCACAGGTGGTTGTGAAGCTCCTAGCATGGGTGCAAGAAACCAAACTTGAGTCCTACAAAAGCAGCAAGTGCTCCTAACCACCATGTCTCCACCCCATGCCAACGCCTTTTCTTGAGACGGTCTAATGTAGTCCAGGCTGGCCTTGAACTCCTGATCCTCCCCCTCCCCCTCCCAAGTGCCAGCGTCGAGGGCTGGTGCCGCCGCACTGGCCGCACACTGCTCTTGAACCCTGACGCGGTTGCTTCTCTCTGCCTACAAAATGGAGGTGATTAACCCTGGACTGTTGTTTCAGGGTTGTTAAACACCCAGGACCTGGAGCTGTGCTTCAAAACGTGTCAAGTAACCATAGCCATTGCAGTCTTTCCCCTCACGCCAATGTCTGCACCAACCCATGTCAAGGACACTGAGCCTGGCCAGGCCCCTCCTGGCTCAGCCAGGAGGCTGCAATGATGGCATATGGGCACCTGGCACTGCTGGAGCCATGCCAGTGCCAACTGGCTGAGCGTCGCCGCGGGGGAGTCCCCCCAGGCTGGCAAGCATGGTCAGGCTTGGCTATCTGGTTCAGGTCCCCCCAACAGTCACAGGAGGACTGGCTTCAGAGGTTAGAGGGCGGGGTCCCGAGTGCCAAGCTGTACCTCCACTCACTGCAGGCCTCACCCAGCGGCAGAGACTATCTGCAAAGATAGGTTGGTGCTGGTCCAGGAGTGCCAGGTCAGGGTGTCCCACAGACTTCACCCCATCACTTGGTATCTGCATACCCTCCTGGGGCTTGGGAGGGGCATGGCTAACAGCTCCCACAGTATGTAGAAGGGTGGTGGTGGTGTTTTGTTTTGTTTTTTTCAAGCCTCTTGAAACACCAAGGTCTCGTCTCAACCTTTTCACAGGACAAAGGACTATTTGCCAGACTAGAGACAACTTGCTGTGAACAGTTTACCCTTCACCAAGGATGGAGGACTCTGCATTATCTGGGCACAGATGAGGGGACATTCTCATCAGCGTAACACTGAATGGATACTTGTGTGTGCTGGGAATGGTACTGAGCTCACCCACTCAGGCCCTGGTTCTGGGGATCTCAGGTTCTCTGTCCTGAGCTGCAAGGACTTGGCCTGCTGAGCCATCTCCCCATCCCTAACCAGACACTCCTCCGCTCTGCTCTCTCCCTCCCTCTCTCTCCCTCTCCTTTCTCCTCCTCCCTTCCCATCTCCCTACTCCTTGCCTCCTTCTCTTCCACCCCAGTCCTCTCACTATCCCCCCATCACGCTTCCTTTTCCTCCCTGACTCCTCCCCTTCTCTGGCTCTCTCCCTCTCCCCCTTTATCCTCTTTCCCACTCTTCCTCTCCTCATCTCCCCCTCTCCTTCCCTCTCCCCTTCTCTCTCTCATCTCTGTCCCTACTTCCCTCTCTTCTCTTTCTCTCCCTCCCTCTTCACTCCCCTCTCCCCCTTCCTCTCTCCTCCTTTTCTCCCTCTCCTCCCCCTCCCCTTTCTCAGAGTCTTATTATGTAGCCCTAGCTGGCCTGAAATGCACTGTGTAGACCAGTCTTGTCTCACACTTGCTTGAAGTGATCCTCCTGCCTCAGCTTCCAGAGTTTAAGGACCTTAACAGTTTAAGGACCTACTGTGTGCCAGGAATAGTCTAGGCTCTGGGAAGCAAGACCAGGTACCCCTTCAGGAAGCATTTGACTTTTGTGTAGGAGATGGGCACTGGCTGTCCTCTCAAGAGGTAGGAAGCATTTGGGGGACAGAAAGCATGTGGGCAGGTGGAGCTTTTCTCTGTGGTCTGGTGCACACGAGCTACTTTTTAGATGGACAAAGAAAACACACACTCTTCCTTGGCAGAAATTGTCTGACTTGACTCTGATTTCAGTACAGTGCAGGACAGTCCAGGTCCTGCCATAGCCTGGGGACCCCTGGAAAAATCTCTGGGCAGCATAACCTCGCCTCCCTGCTGTTCCTCTCCTTCCTTCCAGGACCCTCCCTAGGTCTGGACACCAGGCCTTTGCCGATGGCATTGGAGCTTTTGTGGTTGGCAGTTTGGATCTTCTTGTCCTTCACTGTCACCTTCTCCTGTGACGTGTTTTCAGTTCCCATCACTTCTAATTCAGAGTTGGCTTTCTGTCTGGAACAAGAAAAAGATATCCTGGAAGTTCTACCGTGTCAGGCAGATGGACACAGGCAAGTAGTACCCCCAGCTGCCCAGAGCACCCCCAGGCCCTCCCCTTCATCTGTGCCTCTGACCCCACCACCCCCACTCCAGACCCCTGGATCATCTACACTGACCTGGGTCTAACCTCAGCCCAGTGCTCCAGAGCAGGGGCTGTGTCAATGCGGCGGAACCCCACATTTCCCAGGCACTGGCCACATCCTCTTCCTCCCACGGTTCTATGTCTCAGGTGGGCCTCTGCCTTACCACACTGTTTCTGAGCTCCTCCAGGGCAGGCGAGGCCAGATCTGCACCAACCAGGGTACTCCAGTCAGTGTCCGTCACGTTGCCAGAGGGTGGATGCTTAGTCTCAGCTGTGGGAAAGCACCCACGAATACACCTGCCCCTGGCTCCGTGGTCAGAGGCTGAGACAGAGATGGAAAGGGGAAGGCCTGGAACCCACCCCCAAACGCGAGCCGTCTTAATAATAAGCTGACAGCTAGGCATGCTGGCTCCCACCTGTCATCTCAGCACTGAGGAGCCTGAGGCAGGAGGATTGCCTGACTCCAAAATAAATAAGTAAATAAAAATAAACATTCCACGAAAATAAGCAAACAGTGCATCTCCTTTAAGTAGGTCCCACTAGGGATTTTTCTCGTATGTCAGTTTGTGAGGTTTTTTTAATATATATATAAATGTATGACAAATGGGGAAACTTGGTTAATTATAGTCTTAACAAATTGCCCTTATTAAAAAAGAAGAAAAAACCCATAAAATTAGGCTTGTCCCCGAGGAGTGGACACACCGCAAACAAACATTCTCTTCACTGCGAGTAAGGCAGCTCCGCCCTGCGACCGCGTCCCCCACCGTGTAAGTCCTCTGGGCCTGTCACCTCACTAGCTTGAGCGCAGCCAATCAGAAGTCAGCCTTTCTGCTGTCCCGCCTCCTCCGTGACTGGCAGGTGTATGCTCCGCCCCTCCCACCAGCGCCACCTGGAGGTCGAGGCGCGCAGGTGCGGCGTCTGCGCAGAGGGCGCCGGGCCCAGGTGGATTCCCGCGGGTGAGCTGCGTGGGCTGCTGCGTGACTTTCCGGGCGGGGCCTCCGGGAACAGTCGGCAGCGCCTTCGGCCTCGGCGCTCAGATAGGCGTGCAGTAAATTATATCCCCTCGTTTTGAGTTCCCCCTCTCTCTTTTTTTTATTAAGGATTTACTGAGGAAAAATTGGCTCAGAAAAGTGACCAGAAAGCGTGGCTAATACCCGCCCCCCGCCCCCCGGCCAGTTACTCACCATGTAAAACAAGCTGGCCTCTAGCTGGGAGCCATCCTTCTGCCTTTTGCTTTCCAAACGCTGGGACTGCAAGCACGGGCCGCCACGCCTGGCCTTGGGAGCTCTGGGAAATGCTCGGCCACTCAGCCATCTGACTCGGTGGACGCCCGGAGTGGCGCGCGGTGGCACCCTTTTCCAAGGTGGGACAGCCAAGGCGTCGTCAGCCCCTCTCCTGGAGGGACCGACAGAACTGACACAGCCGGGGTTCGCTCCCTCCCGGCTCTCAATCTAAATGGAGGTCCCAGGCATGCGATGTTTCCCTTGAGGGACTCCATGACCCTCGGGAGGACAAGCTGCCCCCCACGACCCCCACCCGGGCTTTGTGCAGCCCAGATGTGACAGGGTGCACCTCAGAATGGTGGGAGGGTGCCAGAAGAGGTGTTCTTACTGAGTACCTACAAGGAGTGACAAATCCTGGCTTCCTTTTGGGGATAGCGGCCGCCCCACAACCCTGTGGATAATTGTAAAACATCCGTTTTACCCAAAGACAAACACCCCTTTAGACTTTTCCAATCACATGGCTGTTTTTTCTTGGGGGTTGGGGGGAGGGGAGGAAGACCGAGGATGTCCATGGAGTAGGAAAGAAAGGCAGAGGCATGACAACTTTGGAGGAGGCCTCCGTTAGCCAGGGTTTAGGGGAGAGCTCAGGCTTCTCCCTGTGGGTGAGACACCTGCTTTGGAACCTCCCCCCCCCCCCTCCCCCCCCCCCCCCCCGGGTGATCTGTCTGGCCAAGGGAGGAAGCCACAGAGTATGTAGTTCCCTGCCTAGGGCCTACTTTAGTCATGTCAGCCTACTGAGTAGGGGCTCAGTAGACTGTGGGAAGCCATTCCCCAAGGCGACTAGGGGTAGTCCTGGGGTCCACGGAGGCGTACCCCGTTAGCACTGGTAGAACTAGCAGAAACCCCAGGATCTAAGATACCCTCCCCATCAGTTCTTGGGCCAGAGGATCAAAGTCTCCCCCAAGGCCTATGCTGTGGGGTCCCCTGGGGCAGGCCCTGGGAAGTAAGGGACGCTCCTCACGCTCTTCATTCCTGGTCCAGTGTTACCTAACTCCTGGCCTTGGTTTCCCTCCAGCTCCTGTGTCACCTCTCACCTGCCTGTTCCTGACTCCTTCTCTCCCCAGGGCTGCAGGGACCTGCTGCTCCTGGTTTCTGATTCCACATCTGTGGAATGATTTCTGCCTCCAGTCAGGCCCTGGGTGCCTAGGGCAGGCGGGTTTTCCAGGTGCTGCTTGGATTCGAAGCGCCTGAAATGCTATGGGGAGGAGGAGGCATCGAGGGAAGGCTGGCTGAGACTTCCCTAAGGAGGGACCGAGCTGTGAGCCCAGGGCCATCTGGGGCCCCGTGGGGAATCCCCCATAGGCACAGGTCACAGCTGGAAGAGGTCTGGTCCTGGCTGTCACTGACTGGCCGCCGAGGACTCCCTGGGCCTTAGGGCCATCCCTAGCATGGACGTCACAGTTGCTGGCCTGCCTGCCTACCTGCTCCTGTGGCAAGGCCGCAACCAGAGCTCCTTCAACATCTGCCCCCTATGAGACAGAGCAGAGTGAACTCCAGCCATGAATCACGGCTACAAGTCAGGCACAGTTTCAGGCACTGGGCACTCTTATGTGATTCTAACAGCCCTAGGTAGGCAAGGCCATCGCTCCCAGCTGCGACACTATCAAGATCACTGCAGCTAGTGGAGGCCAGATCCTCAGGAAAACGCTTAGTGTGTCTAAAGCAAAGGCCTGCTCTTGAGCCTAGCGCTACCCTGGGACAGGATTCCCCTGAAAGAGAACTCCAGGGTGGGAGAAATGACCTTGCTAGAAGTTTGCTCTGTTTACTACTCTTCTGGGTCTGGGAGTTTGGTTAACTGCTCTGGGCTTTCATGCCCACATTCTTTGACTTCCATGACCAAATTCCTTGGCTCAAGTTCCTTCCTTCAAGCCAGCTTCTGAGGGTCTCAGCAACTCCACACTCTCCTCTTCTGTGCCGAGGCCTCCGAGACTGCAGGCATCCGGGGCCTCCTCCTCACCCCAAGTTCTGTGCTCAAACCTAAAGTCGAGCATAGCGGCTTACACGTGCAGGCCCAGCACTCGGGACGCTGAGCAGCATTATTGCCACAAGTTCAAGGTTAGCACGAGAAACCTAATGAGTTCCAAGGCCAAGCTGGGCTGCAGAATGGGACTCTTTCTCAAAACAAAGCAGCGACCCTCAGCTTCGATCTCCCTGAAGGTGGCCTGACATCCTCATAATTTTCAGCATCTAGGAACACGGTTCTGCCTGCTCCGTGCCCCTTGTCGCAGAGCTGACTTCCCAAACTGCTTCGTAATTTTGTATCCAGTGTGTGAGTTAAGCTTTGAGCTTACACCCGGTCCTGGGAACCTCCCCCACACTCTGTGTCCAGACCCTTCAGTCCCGCCTCGGAATACTTGGTGGGCGTGTCCTCTAGGGGGCCGGCACTTTCTTAGCCCCTCCCTCCCTCCATATGTCCATCCCTGACCTCTGAGCTGGACAGGCCTGTAGCTTGGCAAGCACTCTATCCCTGAGCCACACCCTCAGCCCTTAGTCCCGGCTCTATGGCTTGGGGGTGGGGTGGGGAAAGAAGGTGGATGATGAAATGGGGGTCCCCTGGAGACCCTGGGTGTGCCTGTGTCTCTCTGAGGTGCTGGGATAGCTGGGGATTGCTACTTGCCCCCCCCCTATCTTCTGCCCCTCAGAGTCCCCAGAGGCCATCTTCTTCCCAGTTGCTCTGTGTGGTCTGAGATCAAATGCAGACACGGGGACATGGGTCTCTTCTCCCAGCGGCAGGCAACTCCTGAGACGGCTCTCTGGCCTTCAGATCCTGCATCATGCCCTCCTTCTGACAGAGAGGCACAAGGCAAAGCTTCCAAGATTTGATATGGAAGTCTCTCTCCACTCTCTCTCTCTCTCTCTCTCTCTCTCTCTCTCTCTCTCATTTGCTGAACTCGGGCTCGTACCTGCTTCCTCATGTAGGTTAAGCCAGCTGCCATCGTGAGCCCTCTGTGGAGAGACCAATGTGGCAGGCAAATTCACTGAGGGTGGCCACTGGCTAACAGCCGTTGTCAGAATGAAGCCCCCATCCAATAATCTGTGAAAGACTCAGGCTTGTCCATTCCCAGCATGGAAAGGAGCTTGGAAAGGGCTCCTACCTCATTAGTCTTTGAGATGATGGTGGCCAAACACCTTGACTGCAGCCAGGAAGAGACCCTGAGCCTGACGACCCCACCAAGCCACACACAGGTTTCTGACACATTAAAACGGTGAAAAGAGAATTGTGCTAGCCAGTGGGAACAGGTCAGCTTGTTAGGCAACAGCTGTATACACGTCCTTCTTCACAACCCACTGCCTTGCTAAGGGTGAGGTCTTTAGCCCTTGGCCTTCATTCCTTCCTCTGCTTCTCCTCTCCCCTCACGAGCCTCCTTTCTCTGTTGCCAGCCATCTCTTCCTCCCCCTAAGCTGTGGTCTCTCCAGCGTCTCTGGTCTTCACACCCCCAGGCATCACCCACTCATGGCTGTGGACATTCCCCGAGAAGATCCCCTCCTCTTTCACCAGTGCACGGAGCTCGACTTGTCTGGCTCCAGAATGGATATCTCCGCATGTGTCTCTGGATGTTGCTCTAGCAACTCAAATCAGTCTCGTTCTGCCCTCCATCATGTGGCCATCTGCTTTCCATCAGTAACTAAGTTCTCATAGGGATGGGTCTACAGCCTCGAGCAGTTCCCCAAGCCCTCCTTTCAATTTCCATGCAGCCTGGCTAGCCCTGATTTTCAAGACATCTTGTATCAACTGGTCCCAAGACCCCATATGTCCCGTGGAAACTCCCTGGTCTGTTTTCCACCTCCAACCCCATCTGGTTCTAGTAGATGGACCAGGGTTTGAATGGCGGTTCCATGTGCTCTGCCTCAAAAGTCCTCACGGGCTACTGTTTGCTTCTCTGACCTCAGAGGAACTGTCAACACTGGAGAACAGTCAAAGGCTGACCACATTCCAGACGCTCGTGACTGCTCGTCTGCCTGTGGATTGTTACCCATCGATGAAGAGAGATGAGTATTGGCATGCCACAGTCCAGTGAACACCTAGGAGATTTTGCAGAGAGAGAGAGAGAGAGAGAAAAGTCAGTCTTGCAAGCTTGCATATTGCCCAACTCCAGAGACCTACACTGCGGCCCTAAAATGACAAATTTAGGAGATATAGAACAGATTAGCAGTTGCCCAGGCTGAGAGGGACAGGAGGGACCTCTAAAGGACAGCCTCAGTGATGGAGAAGAGTTGATGGAGATATTCATCTCAATGCCACAGATATCCAGTAGCTGTTCTGAGGCATCATCCCTGAAGACCCAGGCTGTGAGGACACAGAACCCATGGTATCACTTCTTTTTTATTTTCTGTTTTTTGTTTGTTTGTTTGTTTGGCTTGTTTTTTGAGACAGGGTTTCTCTGTGTTGCCCTGGCTACCTGGGACTCACGGTGTAGACCAGGTTGGCCTTGAGCCCAGAGATCCGCCTGCCTCTGCCTCCTGAGCGATGGAATTAAAGGTGTGCGCCACCACCTAACTCTGCAGCATTTCTTATAGTGACATGCAAACCTAAAATTATCTCAAGACAAAAAAATAAAATAAAAATGTTAGGAGTGGTTTAGTGGAGGGGCAGTTTCTACGTAGCAAGTTCCAAGCCAGCCAGGCAGCCAGGGCTACATAATAAGACCTTCTCTGTAAAATAATAGTAATAATAATGGTCTTGTCTATAAAAAATAATAAATAAATAAATAATGAGAAGACGACAGAGGCTGGTGGATCTCTGTGAGCTCAAGGCCAGCCTGGTCTACATATTGAGTTCTAGGACAGCCAGGACCAAATAGTGAGACCACATAGTGAAACAAACAAACAACAAACAAACAAATAAACAAACAAAAGGGTTGGGTTACATACAGGGCAATTTACAACTTAGGAACATGTCGACTTGTAAAACATTGTGAGAAAAAAAAAAAAGAAAGAATCCAGTGTGGTGTGCTGCCTGTAGGACCAGCGCTTGGGAGGCGGAGGCAGGAAGGTCATAGGTCATGGCTACCCCAGGTTACGTATGGAGATTCTGTTTCAAAACACAAAACACACGATAAAAAATAGAATGTGAATGAGAACAACTACCACTGATCCTCACCCGCTAGACTGTCTGAAAGCAGAGACGACCTCAGCT